GTCCCTTATTTTTTTTTTTGGTTTTTCTCCGGTACTGGGAACCAAACTCACGACCTTGTGCTTGCCAGGCAGGCGCTTTTGCCGCTGAGCTAAATCCCCAGCCCCTGAAGGTCCCTTCTTGATTGGCTATCTCTTGAGGAAATACTGCACAGCCCCCATGGACACCCCTCTCCCACTGCCACCACCAATGCTCCCCAGCAGATCTATGGGGACCTCTCTGAGTCCTAAGAGTGTAACTGTCTGAGACATTGTCACTGTGTATACAACTTTCTCTGCCAAACAAGGGCAAGCTTTTGGAAGAATTACTGTGTTTTCCTTCCATGTGTATACTCTAGTGGCTAGCATAACACGAATAGCGCATGTGCTTGTGCACAAGAATGAATACAACTTTCATATCCTGGAAGATTGCATCACTGAGTGAAGACAGACTTGACAGTTAAAAGTCACAATGCTATTTGAGTAATACTTCGCTGGTTTATATAACACTACATGGTTATGTCTATTACATGATGCTTTGGAAGTTCATCATACGTGTTATTTGATGTCCCATAACCTGCAACTCTTTTAGAAGTATAGGTGCCATGACACTGGGTATGGATCTGGCTCATGAGATCTCCCACATCGTGTCCACCCAAAACTAGGCATAGTGGTGCGCTCCTTTAATCCCAGCAATTAAGAAACTGAGACAGGAGGATTTTCTTGAGTTCAAGGTCAGCCTGGAATACCTTGTCCTTAAAAAAACAAACCATAACAAAAAAAACATAAGAGATAAATAGTTTGAATACATAATCACTGTTATTCTAAGGAAAATAAAATGCTTAGTGAAGTGGCCCTAGCTCCCTTCTAATCAATGACGAATGGGTTCCTATCTGTTGAAAATCTCCAAATGCAATTCTCTCATAAATAAAGAGAAATGATCTTGGGTAGCTTCGTACACATACACCTGGAGTTAGAGAGAAGAAGCTGTTTCTAATCATGAGCCTGAATGGTGATAGACAGTAAAAGCTTTGAAAGACAATAAACTGGGTAACAAATGGTAGAAGTAGCAATTTTATGAAGATTTTTGGGTCTGTGAGTCCTAAAAAGCAAATTTTCTTGAAGAAATTTCAGGGAAGCTAAGGACACCAATAAATAGAGACACACATGAAGCTATTCCACAGTGAAATAAGAACTAAATAAGGTAATAGTAATTTATTACATACAGCAGCAGCTATGCAACAAAGAGTTGCACCCATCATATGTGATAACTTCATTTGAAGAATAAACACCCCACTTCATCCTAAGGCGTGAAATCCAGGTGCTATTTCTACTCACTGTTAAAGAAAAGTTCAAATATAGATACGGATATAGATGCACATACAGATGATCAGATACATATAAAGGTATAGATGTAGCTATAGCCATACCTGTTTTGGTGCCAAGCTTTTCTTTGCCCCTGTAACAGGGACCAAGTCATTATGATGCTATTATGGAGGGAAAGATTGGTATTAATAACCCCATTCCTAGTTGAAAAAGCTCCAGCAATGTTCTATAACTTGTGCAAAGTCTCAGTGCTAACATGGGGCAGAGCACACACAGTTCACAAACAAGGAAGGCTTGTTCCTAAAGCCAGGTTTCCTGATGGTGTTGCTGGCATCATTCCACAGCCCAAGCTGTGTCCGCTAATTTCTGTATCCATGGAACTAACCATCACGGTCTTTAGCCTTCATGAAACTGATTTCAGTGAAAGCCATGTGTGAGTCCATATACTGGTGCGTGTGGAGGGCCTACAGGACCATTCAGAATGACTTTGCTTGTGTGCAAATCTCTCAGACCTGACCTTCACCTAGTCCTTGTCCTGTTGAAGCCACTCTTCCCCATCCCAAACACAACATCGAGAGTGTCAATCAATGGAGTGAATTTGCCCCTGGTGACAACAACTGCTAGCGTTCTAATATTTATCTAACTTCCTAGCTAATGCACACAGCTACAAAGGAGCTGAGAAAAAAAAAGGTAGAAAGCCAGAAAACTATAAGATCCAGTTGTCCTTTCATTTTCAATTGTCATCTTTCTCCCTGGAGAAAAATAATCAGAGGACTCAAGCCAGCTTTCAAAGGAAAGCCAGCTGGGAGGCTTCCTGCTGCACACATCCCACCCTCTCCCGGCCCCCTGTGCTTGAGTGGGGCCCGGGGTGTGTGGTAAGTGAACTGTGGGGAGCACTTTGTGGCTCTTAACTGTTCTTTTGTATCTTCTGCATATCATACATTACCAAAAAGTGTCAACTGTTAAGTTGAAATCTTAAAATGTCAACTCACCCTCAGGGAACAAAAGATGGAACTGAGGGTTGTAGCAGTGAACGAAAGCTGAAACCCTGACTCTCCCATATGCCTTCCTTTTCTTTTCCACTCTGGATTGACATGGTTGGGTACAATGAATCAATGAGTAAATGAATGAGAAAATCAATGAGTGAATGTACGAGCAATCAAATAAATAGATATATAGGTGTGACAATGTAAAGACAATATAAATCCAAAAGAGTTATTGGTGTTGTGTGGGCCACTTTTGTAATTGGATTGGACACAAGGAGCATAGAGAGAAGCTTAATTCAGGAAGGTAGATGGATGGATAGGTGGATAGGTAGATAGGTAGATAGATAGATAGATAGATAGATAGATAGACAGACAGACAGACAGAGAGGCAGGCAGATAGGCAGCAAGAAAAATAACACCTAACTAGCTCCTTGCTGTCAGTCTTTACCTGCTATCTTCCAGGACACCTCTGAAATGAAAGCCAGCTAGGGCTCGCTCAGTCATCTCTTTTGTTCTTCAGACTATGTTTGAAGTTCATGGCTTCTGTTACTGTAGATCGGACATGGTTTTCTTTTCCTTCCCATGAGCATCTTGGCCGTCTCAAAGTGCCCATATGCATCATTCATTTCATTACTGAATGATAACTTTGGCTGCTTTATCCATGTTTGTCTATACTGGTATGCATATTTTTAAAGTTTCAGGTTGATTATTTAGTAATGTTATATGTTACTTTTATTGTAAAAGGGAAAATCTAGTGGCATTCATTTTGGGGGATTTAAACATGTAATCGTGCTCCAGAGAAACACTGAGGATGGGGGTTATTGATGTACTGGTTTTAGGATGTGTGTAGGGTGTGTCAGGTTATTTGCATGTAATTCAATTGAGTGATGCAAGGCTTATTTCCTTTTTAGGGTTAGAAAATCCTTTGGGGATACTTAAAACCAAGGCCTCCCTTCTTTCTTTTCCCAATCGATTGGAATTGAACTATGGAAAGATGAAGTGACTTGTGCAAAGCGACTTACTGATGGCAGAATAACTGCCACCAAGCACCCAGGAAAAGTCACTTTCATTTCTTTTTTTAGCTAAATCACACCAACAGCCCCAACTTTCCTTCTTAGTAGTGTTAGGTAATAGTGATTCATTCCAGCATGTTTGCTCATCACCACTGTCTGAAAGCTAGGCCTTAAGTTTTCTTTACCATATGGACCTTAGTTTCCCATTTGTAAAGCTAAAAGGGAGGAAGCGGGGAGAAACCACATGATTTCTGTACTAGGTTTCTTTTCAGCTCTGAGAATCTATGAAGAGTAATGAAGCAATTATGTGGGCAAGAGTCTCAGATGGCAAAAGCTTTTCAAGTCTTCCTATTTCCTCCTTTACTTTATTTGTGAGGAAGTTCAGAATTAAATTGCACGTCCAATTGAACTAAATGTTTTGGCCCAGGTTATTGTAACAGAGTGGCTAATGCAGTCTAGATAGTTCTTCATAATTTTATATTTTTGGTTGCTGTTTCATATTATCAGCTCTGTAGCCCAGGCTGCTGGTAAACCTGACATGCTTTTGTTGTCATTCTTGCTGTTGTGGCTGATGATAACATTTAGCTTTAGAAGAGTTATACCTTGTCCAAGCTCATTGTTGTCAGAAATAGGTTCCTAATATAGCTTTCTCAACCTCCAAAACCCAAATTCCTGTCTTCTTTCCATGCTTTCAATTTTGTCTTGTCTTGTCCTTTCACTCTGATGTAGTCCTTATCTCTGTTTATTCTTTTACCATAAAACTTTCTGAATATTTTGGCAAGTATATGGAATGAAGAATAAATAGTGAACAATTACAGTTAAGTGCATTTCACATACAGTATAGAACCCATAATTTTGACTTTGTTGCTGACATTATACTTTACATCACTATATATAGAGCTTATTTTGAAAATGATACTTATGGCTCTTTGAAAAAGTTATTTAAGCTAGTGTTTCTCCTGTGAAAAGGTGGATGTAGTAGCTAGAATTGTGGGTTTTGATGTCAGAAGCCCTTAATTCAGATCCTTGCTTAGACACTTTTTATGCAGTCTTGGGCCAGCTATGTATTTCTCATTCACATTTTTCTCATTTTTGCCATGGCAATATTGGCTACCTACCAGTTTAAATATAGCCAGTTCTCTGTGTCTTTGAGGTCCCTGTCTGAGGATTCAATCCATCTCAGAACAAAGTATTTGGAAAAATTTTTTTGTGTCTGTGCTAGGTATGTACAGATTTATGTCATTATTCCCTAAACAGCTATTTGCACAGTCTTTATGTTGTGTTAGGTATTATACATAATCTGGAGATGATTTAAATTATAAAGAAGGATAGCCATAGGTTATATGCAAATGCTATGCCATCTTATATAAGGGAATTGAGCACTTGGAGATTTGATATCCCAAGGACGTCCTTGAACCAATCCCACACCCATGTGGAGGTAAGACTCTATGGTCAGTTTTAAAGAAGATAGTTGAACATTTAATTTAAACTCTATGGAATAAAGACTCCATCAGTATATTTGTGAAGATTATTGGCCCCCATACTAACAGAACAGAACTCTACAAGGAACACCCTTTGTGTACGTAGGGCACACAGATGGTGAGTAACTATAGCACATGAGTGACCCATCCTACTACTGGCCTACTCTTCTTTTGACTTTCCTTCTAACATCTCTTGTTTGTGGATGCTGTCTTGGCAGAGGACAAGATCTGGATGTCAGTGCAGCACAACAACACAGAGCTGACCCGAGTGCATGGCGCCAATCCCCAGAAGCCCTACACCATGACCTTGGACTATGGCAGCAGCTTGGAGCAGCTGGAGGCCCTGATCGATGGCTCAGAGCACTGTGAGCAGGAGGTGGCCTACCACTGCAAGAGATCACGCCTGCTAAACACTCCTGGTAAGGCCAAGGGTGGGAACAGTAGACAGATGAAACCCAATACATCAAGAGGAGGAATGTTTGCCAAGAAGGGAGCTGTAGTTGTGGTTGCTCAATATTTCATGTAGAAAAGTGTGACCAGGAAAGGCCTGGGTGTGTCTAAGCCTTGGCTTTGATATCTAGATGATTCTAGTTCATTCCATAGCTTCTCAGGGTTTCTGTTACCTTCAGAAAGAAAATGTGCTGCAACAGTTGTGGAAATGCAGAGTGTCTTAAGAGAAATGGCACATGAGGAGAGAGAGCCTGTGAACAGCTCATAGAAAGGGTGGTGGTGTGAGACGGCATTTCTGGGAAGGGAAAAGAATAGGAGAATGAAACAAGGATCTCAGCACATTCATCCAACATGCTGAGTGGTCTGTGGGGAAAAGAATGCAGATGACAGAAATAGTAGAGGAGGCCAGCAAGACAGCCAGGGAGGAGGTGCTGATGGTACTTGCAATACCTGAAGAGCAGAGGAATTAATGAAAATTATTCTTTTAATAATGAACTTTTATTTTAGAAAAAATAAGCCAATCCTTTTTATTTATTTTCCCCTAAAGTGATTTTTTAGAGAAAATGGTTGATTTTTAGTTGTTAACATGTGAAAGAAAGAGACAAAGAGAAAGGGAGGGAGGAATGAAAGGAGAGAGAAAGGAAGGGAAGAAGAAAGAAAGAAATCAAAATTCTAGGAGTGCTTACCAAATTCCACCAAGTGGAACATATCAGGAAGTGTGCAACAAAGGAGTCTGTCATGTTTGTGGAAGATAATTTACCATGTGTTTGGTGGTAGAGAAAAGGCCACAGATGTACTGAGTATCCACGAAAGGGTATCACAGTCTCCAGTCGCAAGGAGCTTAGAATTCAGGGCTTGGAGCTTAGAAATTGAGGAAAGCTGGAGAGATACAGACAATGAAACGTCAACACAGGGCATGGGAGAGAAGCCTAACTAAACAATGTGCTGCCTCACTGATCTAGATCTTCAGGGAAGATGTTGTTCCACATAAGTGAATTTTCCAGATAACTGTCACTTAGCCCTTTAAGCACCGAAAATCTTTTCAAAGAATTTTTAACTATTTGAAATGAAAATCTTTCTCAAATGGATTACACGCTTCCTTGCCTCTCTAAACAGAGAAATGTGAATGTAAAATGTAACCTTCTCCTGATGGCTCAGGATCATCATTGTGAAAATCAATTATTGTCCTCTCCCTAGGCTCAGCCACACGTGCAGGGCTGATGTGACGAGAGGCAGCCACTGGTGTCCCTTTCTCAGCATCCTCAGACACATTGCTCCAAAAGAGACAGTGTTTGTATTTACACACATCTCCCTCTCCCCAACTGTGAAGTCTGCTCTTGTCACTCTCAGCTCTTTTCTGAGGAAGCCTTTATCCACAAACTTCTCTAACTAACTTTGTTGCGTTGCCTGTAGTTTTCTGACAGTTGAGTTTGGCAGAACTGTAGGAAAATGGGAATATGTTCATTCTAACTGGGACATCCTTTAGGATGAGTGTCTTGGACTATAACTTGGCAATACCTCTACCTTTGTGTACGTGTAGTTTTTCCCTTCAACTCCATTGCTGTCTTAAGTTCTCTGTGTGTATCTGAGCGGAAAGACATGGATTTGGGAGAGGCTATATTGGGAATGAGGGTTGGATTTTGTGCTGGGCCTACATGTGAACTGGGCCATCTGCTCAATTTTCACCACCAAATCCAGTACCTGACACATGTGTGTAAACATCTTAACTCATATCCCTGACAGGAGAGCTGAAGGAGCAATGGATTCTCACCTACTTGTGAAATGCTTGGTACATATTAGTTATGTACAAACACTAGGGTCTTTGCTCACAGCTTCTGTCCCAGCAGGGAAGGTACAAAATTTGTGTCATAATGGGGAATAAATTTAGAAGGGAATGTATTGCTATTTGATTATAGAGTATTTTTAATAATTATATAGTAACAGGATTGCAAATTTCATATAGGCTGTAAATCTCACTACTTGAGATGCCAATATAATATTTCATTGTGAAGCCTTTTAGATATTTTTTCCAGTGTACAGTATATTCACAAAGACTCTGTTGGAGCATACTGTCCTTATAGTTTAGCATGATGGTTCCCATTAATCTTGGCTTTCCCCTTGGATTATAAATCAGTGCAGGAAATGAAGGCAGACTATGGCACGGGCACCCAGTATCTACTTTCTTTTGGGGAGTTGGCTTGGGAAATGCAGCAAAGATGCCTCGTCTGTCAGATTACAACTCCAAACCAGTCACGGGTGGGGTCTTGGGGGAGCATGCTCCTCAGCCAGTCTCAGGCACATGTGGCCCCAGCGCTGCAGCCTTACTGCAGGTTTAGCACCTACTAGGCCCTCTGTGCTGTTGAGCTCACCTATAAAAGCAGGAACAAAGAGAGTAATGTATCTGAGAGTCAGCACAGAAGACTTACACCTCCACCTATGTTGTTCTAGTCTCCCTTAGCACTCAGCACTCCCTTCCGTGTGGCAAAAGCTCAGGTAGAAGGGAAAAAGGTACCATTCTTTCTCCCTTACCTACCTGTGAGTCTAGAAGTGTTGGACAAGTCTCTCCATTTTCAGTTAAGCCTAGGGTAAATGCAGTAAAGAGATTCTTAGCCCCAAGATACTATTTTACAACCTAAACTTATCACACAACACACACACACACACAAACACACACATAAACTGGTTTTCACCCACACACACAGGATTTCACCAGAACCCATGCATGCATGCATGCATGCACACAAGTACAAAAAAGTATATAAATACGTATGACTCAGACCATCATTTTTATTAACAACAGAGTATTCTCTGATATAGAGGTACTAAAATTAACAAGTTTTCTATTTGGACAGGTAGATTGTTTCCATTTTTTTACTAATACATATAATGCTGCATGAACATGTTTGAATGCAGATCTTCATGAACATAACTGATTCTCTTAGTTACTTTTCTCATTCCTGAGACAAAATACCCAGCACCCACAAATTAAAGGAGGAAAAGTTTATTTTGGCTTATAGTTTGCAGAAGTTTCTGTTCACAGTTGGCTCCAATGCAGGGTAGCATGACAGAGGGTCATGATGGAAGAGAAACAGTCCATGGCAGGTTAGGCAGGAGGGAGTAAGCAGCAAATAGCAGAAACAGTAGTAAGTGATCCTTTCCTCTTCATCCCATCCAGCTACAAGCCTTTCCAGTGGTTCCACTCCCATCTAGGGTGGGTCTTCCCATTATTCATATGCAAAACTATAATAAATCAATTAGTGGGCTAATCCAGTACAGCACATCCTTCATCCAAGTATTGCACACCTTAGATCTGACCACCTCTGAAAAGCCCTACCTAGGATCACATGAGGCTTAGGGGAACATCTAGTCACAAGCCATAGCAATATCTATATCCTCATAGTAAATTCCTTGCGGTGCACTGCCAGGGCAGAAAGTGTGCATGTTTTAAGGCTTTTACCACAATGACTGCTACAGTGCATCAAGGTGTTGTTCCCAAAACAACTTATTTATTTATTGTTCCCAATTTATTGTTCCCAAAACACTGTGGGACTAAATGCCCATTTCCCAGCAATGGATATCCTCATTTTACTTCAATGTTGGTAGATCTAATAAATGTAAAATGGTGTCAAAGACCATTAAAAATAATTTTTGTTATCTTTGTTAACTTTTTTAGAATATGTAGACAGATTTCCGTAGTTTATTGGCTACTACCCACTACGAGAAGTAGTAAAAATTATGAAATACCTGTAAATTGTGGCTGTAGGCGGAGTTTAGTACATAAAAGGAGGATGTGGAGGATGCCTTCTTTTCACAGACTCTCATGCATGCTATATAAATAGTAGATTATGAAGACAGGAAATAAAACAGATAACAGAAAAATAGAGAAATATTCAAATGGCCACTAATGACAGAGGTGTCTTATGTCTGCAGATATGTGTAGCATATGTATAGGCATTATATCTAACCCAAACAGCAGATCTCCCAGTGAGAGTTATTAGCCCCATCTGGTTTTTTAGAAAACAGAATCAGAGAGAGAGAGAAAGATGCGTGTTTAATGCCACACAATTGGCAGAAGGACAGACCTAGTTGCACCCAAATGCCTGAAATCAAAGCACAAAGGTACATTTTTGCACACAATCAAAGGGCTAAATACTATGAGGAAATGAGGTAGTTTAGGAAAATATACATTTCTTTACTGTGTAGGAAAATAGAGAAGAACTAGATCTGTCTGAGCTATGATCATCTAGGTGTCTGGTAGCCTGAACTGGGCAAATTCCTGAGCAGCTTCAAAGGGTCTGCACCAAGCTTGCCAAGATGCAGCAGACCAAGGCTCATCAACCCTCCTGAGGGGGCCCTGTGCATTGCTATAAGAGCTTCCTCAGAGCCTGTTTTCTCTGGGGTCTGGCTTTGGCTTTGCCTACCTTGATCTAAGAGTAGCATGGGAGAAGAGAGAGGATGTGAGAATAAGGTTGTGGATGGCTCACCAGTGTGACTTTCTGGTTCAGCATGTGACTGAACCATGACACTGTCATTTTCTGACAGTTTCCTCTGGTATACCTCAGGAGAATGACTGATACAGGTCAGCGAATGGGATGCATCATCTCTCTTTAATTGGGGTTTTTATTACCGATCTCAGAAGGAACAGTATTCCATGTTGCTTGGGTCCACAGGAAAAGTGTCTTTGCTATTCCCATGCATCTTTGTATTTTCTTTAACTGCCTGCTGCTTCTCACCCTGATATTTATGTAGGAGGAAAGGTCCTGTGCTACAGAGCAGCTTCTGAGAAAAGGATCAGGGTATCGCCAGCTCCTGTGACACAGGAGGAGGTGGTCCCTTGTCCTCAAGGAGAATGGCTGCTCTAGTTGAGCCCATGTCTTTTCTCACTTGTCAGTACACCTGTATGGATTTTGCCTGAGTCCTGGCTCCTGAATTCAGTGTGTTATAAGTCTATAAAATGCAGCAGGACCCA